CCTCTATGTAAATTCTGAGTCGATTTCGAGTGTGTGAATCACAATTCGAAATGAGTATTGAATTATATACTGAGAAAAGTGATAACAACTACCCCATCATCTAGAGCATTAGAGACCATGACAACAGAAATGTTCACAGGTATTCTTTAGGTTTTTAAATAACGGAATTTACATTTTAAAAAGACCATATGTTAAAATGGCCATTTTTTTCAATACTTATTCTGCGGTCGAGAAGTTCAAAATACTGTATGTTATGTGTCTGCGTACCAGGTGATGATGGGGTAGTTGTTATCACTTTTCTCAGTATATAATTCAATACTCATTTCGAATTGTGATTCACAAACTCGAAATCGACTCAGAATTTACATAGAGGGGTCAAAACGTTCTGAGAACTAGCAATATTTCTTCAATAAGAAGCACATTATATTTATTTGTCTACATCAAACGTTAGAAGACATCATGTCAATGTTCGATAGCAAGCTCAATTTACTTTCGAATGATCCTTTTTATATTCATCGACGTGCGTCAAACTGATGGCTCAGCTATTGCTTAGTTTTAATAGTCGATTCAGTACCGAAACTTTGGTGGATTTTATAAAACGGACACTGTGATGATGTGATGTAATGACTGGCGTTGAAATACAGCTTAGATATCGCAGTATTAGGTAGAGGCAAGAGAGAAATCCTAATCCATAAAAAGAGAAAACATTTTACTTGTCGTAAGAAGATGATGACATGTAAAAGGAATAATGTTTGTCATTTTCTGATTTGATGCGTTCTATTAGTTTCCAGGAAACTACTTTTTTTGGACTTTACTGGGAGTCGGGCATAATGGACATAATGGGCATAATGGGCATAATGAACACTTTTTGATTTCCACAAAATCGATTTCAATTTCCTAGAACGCAATAAAGCTTCTGATAAACGATACTGGTGACATTCTATGCAATACACGTAGGAGGACTGCTATATTCCACAGTAAACTTCAATTAAAAGAGGCCTCAGTCCTTCGTGGCACCCACACTTGGTGTCTTGTCGTGTGTGAGTATTGACCGGTGTATCCGTCTTTCGGATGCCTCCATCCTTCACCGCGCCCACACTTGATGTAATATGGTATGTGTTGCCATGAGAGTTCATCTGATACGTCTGTCAGCCTTTCACATCAAGTCTACATAGTGTATCGTGGTGTCTGGGTATTTATGTACTTATCGGACATTTACGTACATCGTAGGTTAGTGCTTTCGGGGGTAGCTTAGTGGTTTTGCACATGCGTTTGCCGGTAGTGGAAGAATATCTTATGTGCAACGCCGGGAATGGATGAGATGATGTAACTCTCTCCGACGATTTGCTTTCGTTCATCTGAAAAAATATCTTATGCTAAATGTATTGCTTTTAAGATCTAGTGGTTTTTGTTTTTTTAATGTTCGTTTATATGTGTCCTCCAGCTGTGGGACTATTTTTCGAGAGAGTTCAAAGTATTCATTACAAATTTGCTCTGTACTGTCTTAATGTGAAATTTATCGAGTTATTATTAATTATTTTTCTCTTTTTGAAAAATTGATTGCCTTTGTGGAAAGTAATTCTACACTTCTCCAGATTTATTTATGAGTTTCCAGAAACGCATTATCTACTGGAAATTGTTTTTGATTTTTGGAAGTCGAATTCGTTTCGGGAAAGTGAAATAGGATTTTCGAAAAGTCGATTTTGATTTCCCGGAAATTTTGTTTTTCGGAAAGTGAAATAGGATTTCCGGAAATTCATTTTGGGTTTCCCGGAAATTTTATTAAGCGGAAAGTCAAAGGACTTTCCAGGAAACTCTAATAACGCATCATATGTATTTGGAAAGCAACGAATTTAGTATGCGTAAAAACAAAAATGTATATGCTTTTTTGAGCCCTCACTGTATTATCCAACGAAATTATCTCTTTTAATAATGATGATATAAACAGAAGAAACAGGATAAAAAGAATCTCGAAATCGGCCAGAATTTAAAAAAAGTTTTAATGAATTATAAATTCATCATATGGAACGTAACGCAATTATACAAAGCAAAATTTTATTATAATTAATTAGTTCAATATCAAATCAATTGATGGTCAAGTCGATTAAATCTTTTGTCTGATTAAAGATTTGGATGTGTGTATCGGTAGGCAAAAGAATCATTCGACGATATTAAAATCAGCAAAATGGACGAATTCAGACACATTACTCTTTTCTTCGATATTTTCTGGTTTTGACAGTTTTGCAATTTGATACTTTTTCCGATAAACTCAACTATGATCGACAGTAAAAATGCCAAAATAAAAATAAAAAGTAAAATTCTGAAAGATGTTCGATGAGATTGAATAGATAACACATTGAACGTTAATTGCAATTTATCATAATAGAATAAATTCTCATATTTATCGAAATCAACTTTCTAAAAGCTGACGATAAAATGTGTACAAAATGTTATACTTCAATGGTCTTCTGGTGCACTGAAGTGAAAAAAAACAAATAAACAACCGAATTACAAGGTCGAATAAGCACGTTGCATAATCAATATGATAATTATCCTCTTACAGCATCTAATCTCCTGAATATGTTGTCTTTTATTTTAGCAAAAAAATGTTATCATCGTACCATCAGAATATTATTTGAGGTCGATGAACTAATATTTTAAAGTAACGGGTGTCCCATAATATAAATGGTCGGTTTTTCTATTTCTGTTTTTTTTTATCATCGAGTGCATTTATTTTGAAAACAAAATATACCACAAGATGCAGCGTGAAAAGCTCTACAATTTATATAAGATCGCTTATGTTATAGTTGCACTTTTTGTTTTCAAAATGGACAAAATTTTGGGCAATCAAATTTTGACCGCACGCAAAAAATCATTTATTGGTCGCACAGAATTTTGCTTGTATTAAAAACAAAAGGTACATATATTAAATAAATTTGTTCTTTATAAATTGTAGAGCTTTTCACTCTGCATCTCATGGTATATTTTGTTTTCAAAATAAAAGAGTTATTAATTATGGGACATCCGTTATTTTTGCTTGTCTTTCATTTTCAATAATAAATATTTGATTTGAATTTAGCTACTTGGTTCCGTTTAATTGTCTGCACGGGAAAATATTCAGAAATCTCCATCCTAAATTTCGACATTTTTTACTTTTGGCTACAGTTGAAACAATCATTTTTTCTCTCGGTCTATTTAAATCACAACCATATAACAATTCAGATTTTTTTTTTTTATACAACGGAAAATGAACATTAACATTCGATTTTTAACCATTGTCTTAAGGAGAATTATGTTTTATATTACTTCTGCTTGTTTACTGTCACATACATAATTTTATCTTCTGGAATATTTATTTGATAAGAAAAAACAAAAGAAAAGATACTTAGGGCATACCAAAAGTACGGGCAGTGACACTTTCATACCGTATAGTAGGCTTAAATAACTTTCTTTCTGTATAGCCTGATAGAGAAAAAAAGCTCTATCTTTCTATGCTATTTGATCGTACTTCAACTAATATCAAAATATTAAATTATCTATAAAACCTATTTCGGCTGGTTATGTGCTAGTTGTACAGGGTTGCCAAAAATGTTTTTCCATGAGGTACAACTTCAACGATAAATGATATCAAAATTCAATTTTATACCAAATGAAAGCCCGTCAAAAACAGGATTTAGGAGTATAACTCGTTATTCTTAAGATGAGAATGGACTATAGAATTATAGCCAGATTCAAGTGGTTGGACACTCACGTGGGTGGGTAGTGAATCACAAAAACATAAATTTCTCAGAAATTTTGTTGTCTAGCAGGCTTTGTAGAGCTCTCTTTGCTGATCATTTTGCTAAAAAGGTTTTTAAATTTGATCAATAAATAACCGTACTAAGGTCGAAATACTCAAAAATATCTTAGCTATATCAACCAGAGGATTTTGAAATTTCCAGTATTTTGACCCTAGCGCCGTTATTTATTGATCACGCTCAAAAGATTTTTTTACCAAAATGATCAGCAAAGAGAGCTCTACAAAGATCGACAGACAAAAAAGATTTCTGATCGCCCCAGGGAAAAACATTTTTGACAACCCTGTACAACCAGCACATATCCAGTCGAAATAGGTTTTATAGATAATTTAATATTTTAATATTAGTTGAAGTATGATCAAATAGCATAGAAAGATAGAGCTTTTTTCTCTCTATCAGACTATATAGAAAGAAAGTTATTTAAGCCTACTAAACGGTATTAACGTGTCACTACCCGTACTTTTGGTATGCCCTAAGTAATTATAAGTTAATCGATAAATCAATTGACTCTAACAGTTCCTTCGCTTGAATTACACGTCCATGATTGTTTTGAAAATGAAGTGTAGTATTCATTAGTCGTAATGCTTCATTCAAACAGTTGTGGGCTAAACCACGATCACTTGATCGTATATATGATTCACCGATATTAAGCAACAATAGTGACAATTCATCAGCTATTCGCTCATATACATCATCATTGATATTCATAACATCTTTTACTTTATCAAATTCCTCTTTTAAACGACGATGCGCATTAACATCGGCACAGAATATGTATATGCTATGAATATTTTCATAGGTATGTTTTGCAGGAACAATTTCTTCATGAATTTGTCCAGACATAATGAGAAAAATTTGAGTTTTTGGATTATCATCGAGGAATTTGTAAAATTCTTGTGGATTCACAGAATAATGCCAGTTTTCAATAAATGATGATAACTGAATAAGATGTTGTTTCATGTCTAGCTGAGCATCATTGCCACCAATACCTTGGTCAACACAAGCACCGATAATAGGTTGACGACGATGGCTAGTCAAATTATTCACTGACATTTCTTCTTATACAAACATTTTTCATTTCTTATTTGCCATTCAAATAGCATATTAAATACGTCATTGGAAAAATCCAACATAATCGAAAAAATGGAAGAAAATTTTTTCCGAATTGCAATATTTATCAGCAGACGACTAGCACTTTTTATCTATTTGTGTGATGAAAAAAACAAAACAAACTAACAAAAAACGCATTATATCCATAATGGCTTACCAAAGAAAACATCCAAGAGATTAAGTAATCAACCGAGAGAAATAAAAGATCAGAGAGATAGTATCTCGTAGACTGCGCCACTACCTAACAATTCTTTCTTGTGCTTGCCTTTCTATTCGGCCAACGTTTTTTTTTGTACTTAAAAAAAACTAGAAAAAATGATTCATTGAGTCAATAAACCATTGACATTGCATCACTTTATTTATCTTTCAACAGATGCATATCATCGAGAAGAACGTAATTGACACCAATGATTTGGTTGAATTGGAAAAGAAACTTGCAAAAAAAATGTAATCTGATGACGTCAAGTTGACTTTTAACGATGATCATATTCTTTCAAGGTCATTGTAACGATTTCTTCTCGTTTGCGAATATGAAGAAAATTAATTTTAAATAAAATAAAATTGTTTTAACTTTTTGACTAATCTAAAATTGACATTTTTATTGGTTGTTTATAAAATAAGTAAATTTTTGATAATTAACTTTCGAAGATAATTCGTTTAAAAAAATTTACTGCAATCTTTAGCGAACGGAAGTTTATGATAAGCGAAAATTTTTTGAATGTAATAGAGCAGCTACTACATTTTATTGATAATATGAGTTTTTTGTTCTATACATATTTTTTATCTTAAACAATGGAATGAAATATTTTTTTCATCTTTCAGTAGAACTATTAAAAGCAGATTGAGCAATAAGAATAGTTTTAAGATATCACATCTTCAAACATCATAAAAAATTTTTGTTTTTCTCCTTTTAACTCTTAGTACTCTATTTTCAGTGTAGTTAGTGGGATTGATTTGGAATTCTCCTTTATATAAACGACAGTTACAAAATTTATATCTATACTTCGCTGTCTGCATTAATCATGTTTATTTTTATTGATATATCCTATATTAATAATAGATATTATATTTTTTCAGACAAAATTTATCGTCAATTTTTTGGGTTCTAGTCAACAAAATGATAGAGCAAAGAAGAATCTATGACTGCTATTCACGGCCTTATGATTCTAAGAAATAAATTGCGTACATATGTTAAAATATATTTATTTCTAGAATCACAAGATCACAGATAAGTAGGATCAAATCTTGATCATACCGTTAAAACATGAAGCTACCGTTGGTTTATAGCCGGTCTAGCGCACATAAGGATGTGGGTGAAGAGAATATGCTCACTAACACCCATATTTCAGTGTCGTCCTTTTTTTAGTATCGTTTTCTTGATTTTTGTATATAAATCATTTTGAACCACGATTAGTTTGTGTGCATTCGATATTTGAGTCTATGTTATAATGATATTAAATAGTATGTTCAAATTCAGAAAAAAAAAATCATGACACGCATAGTAGCAATTATGGCGAGTGAGCTCTATAAATTGCAGTTACTAGTTAACAGTAAAACTGAAGGTATAAGTTTTATTAGAACTATTATCAGTAAATTTTTTGAAATTTTAGACTATTTTCTATTTTAAATTTTGATTTTATGGTCACAAACGATAAAACACACATTGCAATACATCCTAGCCATGTGAGTACTCATAAAGTAATCGCGTTAGGAAGTGCTGCAAATAATTATAAGTAGTTCTTGTCTTGGAATATGAATACGGTAATTGAGTACTTGCCTTGTAGTATTGAATGTTTCGTGAGCACTCTCATATATAATTTTTGTGTATTCTGAAAGTTAATGTAAAATTACTCATAAACGTATAATATCTTTAGTATTATTGTATTGTATTACATCCATTTTATTTAAGTATAAACCTAATAATAAAATACAGGTATATGTAAGTACATTACTTTTTTCTAGACATACAATCAGTTTGAAAACCAATGGTTTGTTTCTTTCGACGCACATGCACATTTCGAATGTCTATTTTTATTGAAAAACAATCTTTTCTCGTACTGGTTGTTTTTATGATTTGTCTGCGTTTTGATGGTTTACTTTAATTCATTTCAAAAATGAGATGTTCAAAATCTAGTATATACATCGTTCAAATGAAGTAATTGGAATTTTTCCTCTTACACTTTTTTATGAGAAGTCGCTAGAGAAAATTAAGGTGAAAATAGATGACGCTGAATATGAATATAATGGTCGATCGAACTCCAGACGAGTAAATGATTGTGACTAATGATGGTTGCCTACTTTGTCAATGAGCGAATATCCCTGTTCTATGTTGTTTTTTTTCCTTCTATGCTTGTTAGTGAGATGACGTCACAGTAAATTTACGTGAAAATGAATCATATCAACTATCAAGCTAATGAATGATTGAATCATGAATAAGTATGTGATAGTGACCAATGATTTTTACCTGTATATTCAAGCAAGGAATACTCCTTGTCTATATGTCAATAAATGTAAGTGGAAAAGATCCCAGATACTTCATTTGTACAGTATATATATATATATATGCAAGAGAAATGATCACTGATCAAACAAAAGCTACAATCGGATACAAACATTTTACTTTGATAGTAAGTAGACTATTCTATTCTTTATGTTGCGATTCTACGAGAGAAAGTGTTTAAGAGCAGAAAACAAACAAAAAAGCTCATTGTTGATAAGTTAGGCTCATGGATAAAGAATACTCATTCTTAGAAATGAATCTGAATAAGTTGAACAAAAGTTATACTTTGTCAATTTTTGTTGTTCCTGAGAGAATTGTAATTTTTTAAAGGATAAATTGAGCTTTTCTCGTAGACCAATATGTGAAAATTTCATCAGTAGGAATCTGTGTTTCGTTACACTAATTGTTTTCATTCGAACAATTTTTCTACTAGGTTTCATGTCAAGTATACCGATTTCTCAATCTGGATCAGTTTTCGACAATTTTTTCGTTTTTACAAAGATCTTGAGTATTTTATTTTCATCGAAATTAGAGATCATATATGTTCTCTGCTAAATACTAACAGTTATTATACATACTGATGT